AACACGCAGCCTTGCCTGAGGCCCGAAGGGCAATCAAAACTTTCAGATAATATGTTATTTGATTTAACACATCCCTTCACACAACTATAGATAGATTCAAGTGCATTTAACATCTTGGGTGAAACTCCCCTGTATTTTAATATAAACCATAATTTAGATCTATTAACAAAGTCGAAAGTTTTTTGAAGTCCACAAAAAGCGCATAAAACTTACCACGCTTTTTCAAAGGTAGTGTTGAATAATAGTTTGTAAAATGAAAATATTATCTATTGTGCTATATCCTTTTTGAAATCCCGCTTGCGACTCCCTAATTTTGTCGTACGAATTTGCCCAAAATACAAATCTTGCATTAAGAACTGATGTATAAAGTTTACTTAAAGTGCTTAAAAGAGGAATACCTCTATAATTATTAGGATCAGACTTATCACCTGACTTATACAAAGGGACTATGATACCTGTACTCCATGATTCAGGGAAATATGATGATTCAAAAATGACATTAAACAACAATTCCATGTATGGCAACAATATATCGGAGCAGGATTTGAAAAATTCTGAGATAAGGTTATCTTGCCCTGAGGACTTAGAATTTCTTAGCTTATAGATTGCTTCTTGTCTCTCTTCTGGAGTGATCGGAGAATCCAGTACACAGACGGCCGTATCATCAGCATACTAGTCAGTATCAGAGTTTTCAGTCTGTTCTGGCAAATTAGCGTATTAGTATTATAATGTTTCTCTCTCACTGTATACTCTGAAATGTATACTGAACAGCATTGAAAACGCACCACCATGAAAATGGATGTATTTGTATCCGGGCTTATGTCATATGAAAATATATAATTGAATGAGTAATATACGACGTTCTGGACGAAGCATGAAGAAGAACAGCTCGTCAAAACACATTCCTAAATTTTTTGTGAGCGGCAACGCCCAAACGCAACAAATTGCGTGCGCATCATGGAAAACGTGTTTTGTTTCACGGGAAGCATGCAGAATAGGGCTATAAAAGACAGACTTTTAAAAGCCAAATCACTTGTTGCTGCATACGTAAAGGGTACTGACACAAGAAATGCCAAGATTAATAGCAGAGGAACGTGAACGTGCCTTGGGCATGCTTCAAGTTGGTACGTCAAGTTGAGTCGTGGCACAACGGTTTCAATGCAATCATTCAACAGTTCTCAGGCTACTGAGTAGATACCAGCAGACAGGAACCACGTCGACCACGTCCGGGTCAACGTCGTGTAACTACACCACGTCAGGATCGCCATATTGTTCGTCGGCTACCAGGACTGCAGCAACCGTACAAGGCCGACGGGGTTTGATCAGCGCTGCTGGGCTACGTGCTCGACGTCCATATGTTGGACCCATACTCACTGATCGACATCGAAACGAACGTCTGCGTGAGGTCGAAAGGCATCGTCACTGGAGATTGCGGCAGTGGCATGGTGTACTGTTCTCTGATGAGTCCCGTTTTCATTTACGGAATGCTGACGGTCGACTGCGAGTGTGGCGTCGACGTTGAGAACGTTACCACAATGACTGCGCTGTACAGACAGATCGATGGGGGGGGGGGGGGGGGGGGAGGGAGTGTCATGGTGTGGGGCGGCATCAGTCATAACCATCGAAAAGAGCTCCATGTTTGTCGTGGAAGAGTTAATGCCCTTTACTACAGGAATAACATATTTGCAAATCACGTCATCCCATTCTTTCATCAGCCAAGACGGGCCAAAGTGTTACTGGCTAATTACTTCATTATCGGCGACCATACCTACATATTATTGATGCAACATACACATATGACATTAATGAACAATCACCAAACAAAAAAGTGCACCATGAATAAGTTATTCGGAGTAAATCGCTTGAAAACCAGAAAATGGAGCAGTGTGTAAGCGTCGCTGATCTTGGTAACATGTAAAAGAGCAATCGTTAAACGAAATAAGATTTGAAACGTATCAAATACTTCTAGCTATCGTGATACAACGTTCCATCTGTGCGCATAGTGTTTATATTTATAGGAACGTTCTATATATCAGTAAATACCACTTTATAATGTCACTGATCGTCGTATTTAAAGCAGACACGTTGGTTAAAGTAGACCTCTTCTCCCTACACTCTCAACAGTCACACAGGTGTTCGGTCCGACTTGGCCCGGGCTGTCAAAATCAACTTTAAACTCACATATGTATCATCAAATGGATTCACATCTATAAACTAGTATAATATCTACCTAAATACCACTTTATAGTGTCTCAGATCGCTGTACTTAAAGAAAACAAGATGCTCAAAGTGAAGCATTTTTACTGTATTATCTTTAGAAAATCTCTGTCAGAAGTGTTCGGTCCGACTTGGCCCGGGCGGTCAAAATCAACTTAAACCTCACAGATGTATCATCAAATGGATTCATATGTTTAGATTAGTATTAAATCTACCTAAATACCACTTTATTATGTCACGGTACATCGTATTTAAAGAAAACAAGGTGCTCAAAGTGAAGCATTTTTACTGTATTTTCTTAAGAAAATCTATGTCAGAAGCGTTCGGTCCGACTTGGCCCGGGCTCTCAAAAGCAACTTAAACCTCACAGATGTATCATCAAATGGATTCACATCTCTAGATTAGTATTACATCTACCTAAATACCACTTTATAGTGCCTCAGATCGATGTACTTAAAGAAAACAAGGGGCTCAAAGTGAGCCCTTTTCCCTCTACATTCTCAACATAGTCTCTATCAGAAGTGTTTGGCTTGTGTTGGGTCCGACTTGGCCCGGGCGGTCAAAATCACAATTAACACACAGATGTATCTTCAAATGTGTTTACATCTATAGATTAGTGTTATATCTACCTATATACCACTTTATAATGTCACGGTACACAAGGTGCTCAAAGTGAAGCATTTTTACTGAATTTTCTTAAGAAAATCTCTGTCAGAAGTGTTCGGTCCGACTTGGCCCGGGCTCTCAAAATCAACTTGTAGCCAGGACATTTCCTCGAAACTATGGGCGGCCATGTAGCTTCAATATTATATCACTGAACATAGGTCAAGGTGTATTCAGTAAACACAGATCTGAAGGGCTGTATTTCCTTCATCGAACACACTATGCGTTCATCACAGTTTGTGACGGATTACGGATACGAATGAACTAGCACTTGTTTGGCAGGTAGGTTTTGTTAAGATTTGTTATCTTGTTCTCTCTCTACCCTCTACTTCCTTAATCACAATTTAAATCCTAAATAGACTTTCGGGCCTAACACTGTGGCAACTTTAGACCCTCTGTTTCTGTATTTACTTGAGCTCATTTCCCCTAAGGTGGGTTACTTTTTATGTATTCTGTGCGAAGCCAGGACCTCAGTGTGACGGTGAAGCTAAGTTACTTTTTATGTATTCTGTGCGAAGCCAGGACCTCGGTGTGACGGTGAAGCTGGGTTACTTTTTATGTATTCTGTGCGAAGCCAGGACCTCAGTGTGACAGTGAAACTATGTTATTTTTTATGTATTTTGTGCAAAGCCAGGACCTCGGTGTGACGGTGAAGCTGCATTACTTTTTATGTATTCTGTGCGAAGCCAGAACCTCGGTGTGACAGTGAAGCTGCGTTACTTTTTGTGTATTCTGTGTGAAGCCAGGACCTCGGCGTGACGGTGAAGCTGTGTTACTTTTTATGTATTCTGTGCGAAGCCAGGACCTCAGTGTGACGGTGAAGCTGTGTTACTTTTTATGTATTCTGTGCGAAGCCAGGACCTCGGTGAGACGGTGAAGCTACATTACTTTTTATGTATTCTGTGCGAAGCCAGGACCTTGGTGTGACAGTGAAGCTGCGTTACTTTGCATGTATTCTGTGCGAAGCCAGGACCTCGGTGTGACAGTGAAGCTACGTTACTTTGTGTATTCTGTGCGAACCCAGGACCTCGGTGTGACGGTGAAGCTGGGTTACTTTTTATGTATTCTGTGCCAAGCCAGGACCTCAGTGTGACAGTGAAACTATGTTATTTTTTATGTATTCTGTGCAAAGCCAGGACCTCGGTGTGACGGTGAAGCTACGTTACTTTTTATGTATTCTGTGCGAAGCCAGGACCTCAGTGTGACAGTGAAGCTGCGTTACTTTGCATGTATTCTGTGTGAAGCCAGGACCTCGGCGTGACAGTGAAGCTGTGTTACTTTTTATGTATTCTGTGCGAAGCCAGGACCTCAGTGTGACGGTGAAGCTACGTTTCTTTTTATGTATTCTGTGCGAAGCCAGGACCTCGCCGTTACTTTTTATGTATTCTGTGCGAAGCAAGGACCTCAGTGTGACGGTGAAGCTATGTTACTTTTTATGTATTCTGTGCGAAGCCAGGACCTCGGCGTGACGGTGAAGCTGTGTTACTTTTTATGTATTCTGTGCGAAGATAGGTCCTCGGTGTGACAGTGAAGCTGGGTTACTTTGTGTATTCTGTGTGAAGCCAGGACCACGGTGTGACAGTGAAGCTGCATTACTTTTTATGTATACTGTGCGAAGCCAGGACCTCAGTGTGACGGTGAAGCTATGTTACTTTGTGTATTCTGTGTGAAGCCAGGACCTCGGTGTGACAGTGAAGCTGCATTACTTTTTATGTATACTGTGCGAAGCCAGGACCTCAGTGTGACGGTGAAGCTATGTTACTTTGTGTATTCTGTGCGAAGCGAGGACCTCGGTGTGACGGTGAAGCTACGTTACTTTGTGTATTCTGTGCGAAGCCAGGACCTCAGTGTGACGGTGAAGCTGCGTTACTTTTTATGTATTTTGTCCGAAGCCAGGACCTCGGTGTGACAGTGAAGCTAAGTTACTTTTTATGTATTCTGTGCGAAGCCAGGACCTCAGTGTGAAGGTGAGGCTACTTATTTTTTTCTCTATTCTGTGCGAAGCGAGGACCTCGGTGTGACAGTGAAGCTGCATTACTTTTTATGTATACTGTGCGAAGCCAGGACCTCAGTGTGACGGTGAAGCTACGTTACTTTTATGTATTTTGTCCGAAGCCAGGACCTCGGTGTGACAGTGAAGCTACGTTACTTTTTATGTATTCTGTGCGAAGGCAGAACCTCAGTGTGACGGTGAAGCTACGTTACTTTTTATGTATTCTGTGCGAAGCCAGGACCTCAGTGTGACGGTGAAGCTACGTTACTTTTTATGTATTCTGTGCCAAGCCAGGACCTCAGTGTGACGGTGAAGCTAAGTTACTTTTTATGTATTCTGTGCGAAGCCAGGACCTCAGTGTGGGGGTGAAGCTGCGTTACTTTTTATGTATTCTGTGCGAAGCCAGGACCTCAGTGTGACGGTGAAGCTACGTTACTTTGTGTATTCTGCGCGAAGCCAGGACCTCGGTGTGACGGTGAAAGCTAGGTTACTTTGTATATTCTGTGCGAAGCCAGGACCTCAGTGTGACAGTGAAGCTGCGTTATTTTTTATGTATTCTGTGCGAAGCCAGGACCTCAGTGTGACGGTGAAGCTGTGTTAATTTTTATGTATTCTGTGCGAAGCCAGGACCTCAGTGTGACGGTGAAGCTGCGTTACTTTTTATGTATTCTGTGCGAAGCCAGGACCTCAGTGTGACGGTGAAGCTATGTTACTTTGTGTATTCTGTGCGAAGCCAGGACCTCGGTGTGACGGTGAAACTACGTTACTTTGTGTATTCTGTGCGAAGCCAGGACCTCAGTGTGACGGTGAAGCTGCATTACTTTTTATCTATTTTGTGTGAAGCCAGGACCTCGGTGTGACAGTGAAGCTACGTTACTTTTTATCTATTTTGTGCGAAGCCAGGACCTCGGTGTGACGGTGAAGCTACGTTACTTTTTATGTATTCTGTGCGAAGCCAGGACCTCGGTGTGACAGTGAAGCTGCGTTACTTTTTATGTATTCTGTGCGAAGCCAGGACCTCAGTTTGACGGTGAAGCTGCGTTACTTTTTATGTATTCTGTGCGAAGCCAGGACCTCGGTGTGACAGTGAAGCTGGGTTACTTTGTGTATTCTGTGTGAAGCCAGGACCTCGGGGTGACGGTGAAGCTAGGTTACTTTGTGTATTCTGTGCGAAGCCAGGACCTCAGTGTGACGGTGAAGCTACGTTTCTTTTTATGTATTCTGTGCGAAGCCAGGACCTCGGCGTGACGGTGAAGCTGTGTTACTTTTTATGTATTCTGTGCGAAGCCAGGTCCTCGGTGTGACAATGCAGCTATGTTACTTTGTGTATTCTGTGTGAAGCCAGGACCTCGGTGTGACAGTGAAGCTGCATTACTTTTTATGTATACTGTGCGAAGGCAGGACCTCAGTGTGACGGTGAAGCTATGTTACTTTGTGTATTCTGTGCGAAGCGAGGACCTCGGTGTGACAGTGAAGCTACGTTACTTTGTGTATTCTGTGCGAAGCCAGGACCTCAGTGTGACGGTGAAGCTATGTTACTTTGTGTATTCTGTGCGAAGCGAGGACCTCGGTGTGACAGTGAAGCTACGTTACTTTGTGTATTCTGTGCGAAGCCAGGACCTCGGTGTGACAGTGAAGCTACGTTACTTTGTGTATTCTGTGCGAAGCCAGGACCTCAGTGTGACAGTGAAGCTACGTTACTTTGTGTATTCTGTGCGAAGCCAGGACATCAGTGTGACGGTGAAGCTACCTTACTTTGTGTATTCTGTCTGCGAATACTAAACAATTATTTCGCCAAACAGCTCTGATCGTGTCTTGATTTCAGGGTATTGTGTTCTTCGAGACTAAGAAACACTTTGTTCAGTTTCGAGCACCTTCTTTAGGTTTAACCTGGTAGACGAGTCATATACATACAGAAGCACATATGTAAAGAGCCTTCCTATAGACATCTATAGAACGTGTGTACAATACTTCAGCATTACAATGTCCTAACAGCCAACAGATCAAGGGGATCATGGATTCCTGACGCTACTGTGACAGCGTCAGCAGGGCTTTCCTTGTTGCTGTACGCGCACCGAACAATGCAAGCATGCATGACTACAACTGTAACCACGGACGGGGGCCTACATAGCTCGGCCTTTAGAAAATGAAATTGAAATTGAAAGTATATCCATTTACTGAGAATAAACCATGATAGGTGGTCTACTTCCAAGAAATATCCTGATATCAAATATTCTAAGGCCACACGCTCTAAAACGAAGTGTTAACTATTTTGCGCATTCTATACATGTTTAGATTGTCCCATTGTGGAATAGATACCTCTTTATCTTAATTTTGAACTGAGCGCTTTAGTGCTGTACACTGTGGAGTGACTGTCAGTATTCTCGGAAGTTGCGAGAGAGGTCATTTCTTGGAAATCGAACATGCCATCATTTCTATTAAAAATTTGGACTCGTGGAAGCCCTACTAAACGAATATATTTCTACAACAAACTTTTTGAATTAACATTCTAATACACATTCAACAAGTGTAAGTGTTATTAGTAAGTTAGCAATTACCCCAAGTAAAAGGAAACCTCTTTTTAACCAATCAGAATCAAGCATTCATCAATGTTATGGTAGAATTCATCATTACGATTACTACTCTATTAGGGTTACACGGAATTCAGGGACAGACATGCCCATATATGGACACGGCTTGAAAAAGGTGAAGGTTATTGTGCTAATTCTTAGAACCGAGTTGGCTGATTATATATAAGGTGCTCGTGGGGCGTTTTCAGACACACACTGTGGATCTCTTTGTGGAACTCTTGCACAACACAACTCTATCTATACCTGCGACACACGACAACTCTCCAAACAGGTAACATAGGACCTGAATACCGCAATGTAGGTTTGGGGTTAGCCTAGCATAGAACAGTACAAGTGCAATATTCGTGAAGGCGGCGTTGAACCCCATTTCACCTCATAATTGTAACGGTTACCTGAACATGATTTCTATTACGTGGGTACGCTAATCTTTGGGGTAGTTCTATTCTGTAATCTGTGTATTGCTGTTTACAAACTGAAAAAAGTTGGATGATTGATGTTGAATAATTAATAGCATTTCACCTTGTGTCATTTTATATTATCGATAACAGTTTAAATCACAGCATTATAGATCAGTTTTGATGGGAAAACTTTGTCTTCTTTAGAAATAAGTAATATTAAGATATTTTGGTCTTTAGTCTCGGAAAGGACTTGTGCCCCTTTTAATCGGTTAATCAGTGGATTAAACATTTCGAGTCAGTGTTTCAGGGTAGCCGAGAAAGTGCAGATTATTTTTAGTTTAATCAATTTGTAGATGACTTTGTCAACTCCATTGGTGATGAGTTGATAGATAATACAGTTGTTCCCGAAATTGAGCTAGACACTGTTATTACTCTAGAGGAACTGGTACAAGTTCGTGGAGACATGAAGTGTGGTAAAGCTCCTGGTAATAGTGGGATACCTGTGGATTTTTTTAAGAATGCTTCTCTAAATGTCTTGGCATGTTATTACAATTATTTAATGCAGTATTCATAAGTGGCTCTTATCCAGATCAGTGGTGTTATGGCGTTATACTTCCTATCTTTAAGAAAGGTAATCCAAATGATCCCTCTAACTATATACCTATAACACTACTAGAAGTAGCAGGCAAATATTTTGCAGAAAATGTTTGAAACAGACTAACAAAGTGGTCTGCTCTTAAACATTTTATTACTAACGAGCAAGCGGGTTTTAGACAGGGATTCCAAACTTCCGACAATATGTTTATTAATTAATTAGATAAATATCTGTCTCCAAATTGTGGCAGGACGTATGGGCCTTCATAGATTTGAAAGGAGCGTTCGACTTTGTGTATAGGAATGGCTTACTCTATAATTTGTGGAAAGGAGGTATTAATGGTCGAATGTTTAGATTAATTCGTAATATATATAGATCTGTAATTTTTGTTTTCATGCTTCATCAAGGATATTGTGGAATTTTTCAATTGTGAGAGAGCTGATGGTGTAACTTTAAGTCCCTTGGAATTATTTATTCTGTTGTTTTCAGATGACATAATCTTGTTAGATGTAACAGCTAATGGCCTACAAAAACGTTTTGACCAATTTTCTTTATATTGGGATAAATGGAAATTGACTATTAACATTCAAATAAGCAAAGTGATTGTATTCCAGAATGGAGGCAAACTTAGATATTATGAAAAGTTTAGGATTGGAGATTCTGTCATTGACAATTTGACATAGTCCCTAGTTATAAATATCTAGGTGGGCAGTTATCGTCCTCTGTTTCTTGGTACCTTGCTCAAAAGACTTTGGCACAACAGGCATGGACAGTAGTTAGAATACTACAATCAACACTGGGAAAATTCTCAACAGTCCCAGCTAGTGTCTGTTTTCCTATTTTTGATTTACAAAAGTACTGCCAATTTCAAATTATTGAGCAGAGGTTCGGTGATTTCATCCTTCACCCGATTTTGAAAATGTACACGATCGTTTCTGTAAACTTGTTCTGAACTTGAATAGAAACACCCCTAACATAATTGCAAGAGGTATTGTGAATAGAACATCAATCAAGGTTTTGAATTATATATAAAAATTATAAAATTCTGATTCAGGTTATTGTCACAACAGATTAATGTTATCATGAAAGGTTCTTATGATTTTCAGTATGGAAGGGCAGAAAATGAGAAAGCTTGTTGGGCGACTAATGTTAAATCATTGCTATATACATAGTTTGGTTTGGTTACAGCAATGTGTTGGAAATATAAATGCATTTATACAGTGTTTTAAGCAAAGATGTAAAGATATCTGCCAACAAACATGGAATAATAATCTAGAATGCTATTTTAAGCCGGAATATCTTTGCTCTGTCAAGGGAAATTGTAATTATGGACATCTGACCAATTGTATTGGTATAGCCATCTATCAAACAACACTTGTTAGATTTAGCTCTCTTAATCATAATCTATTAGTAGAGGCAGGCAGGCATTATACAATACCAAGACTAAAACGTCTTTGTCCCTTTTGTATTGTCCCATATATAGAAACTGAATTCCACATTTGTCTAGAGTGTCCATTCTACTCGAATTTGAGGGATCAGATACTTCCTAAATATTATTGCATATGTCCAAATCTGGATAAACTAAAACAAGTATATAGATGCAACCTCTATGTTATGAGAAGATATGCAAAGTATGTAATTCTCGCTCTCAAGAAAAGGAACACTCTTCTTAAAGATGTGCCTGTTATGTAGTACTATGCCATTGTAACAATGTGAGACTGATTGTTGCCAGTGTGTGTAGCACGTGTTGGGACCCGATACACGGGGCGTTTGTGGGTTATGATCGGCCTCAGTAACCTTTTGTGCATCCTTCTCAGCACTCCGATGAGTGTTGACCACTTGTTCGTGGCTTGAGGGTGCTTTGTGAATCGATTCCCTGATGTAAAAGTCAGCGCTCTCTGTACATGTGAACTGATCAATCCAGTGTACCTTTTATGATGGGCCGGTGGTCCTTTTACGGAATAAACTCACTCACTCACTCACTCACTCACTCACTCACTCCAGATATCAGCTTATGACATTACTTTATTTGGAAGGTGACTTTGCTTGTCGGAAGAGGCGACAAACGGGATCGGGTGGTCAGGCTCGCTGACTTGGTTCATGCATGTCATCATATTGACATATAGAAATCAACTGCGTGGATCGATGCTCATGATGTCCATCTCTGGATTGTCTGGTCCAGACTCGATTATTGACAGACCGCCGTCATATAGCTGGAATATTGCTGAGAGCGGCGTTAAACAACAAACAAACAATTATTCGTCAGTAGTAATTTGAGGCAGTAATTTCTCTATTAGCCCAGTATAAACAAATGTTTTGTCTCTCTTAAATGTTCCAAAGTGACAAGCTGGGAAGGGAGGGCTTTATTATTATATTTTATTTCTTCGGTTGGTTGCAAAGCTTGATTCTAATAACCTTTTCTGGCCATATCACCCTGCGAATCGGACACAGTATAAATAACATGTCAGGAACAGATTAAATTGCCGTGCGAAAACGAAATTTAATTTGAAAGTGCAATTTCTTTAAAGTACTTAAAATATAAACAAGAATAAAAGGCTTTGGACAGTGTAAAGGACAGGTGGTCATGAGAAACAAGACATTTATGTTAGCAAGCCTTATTAGCATCTGCAGTGAGTCCCTGTGTAAATTAGTAACGATAAAATATATTTTTACAGAAAAAAAATGTCTGACAAAGGTGGTCAAAAAGGTTACTCCGGGACTGGCACAAAAGCTGACCTTGGCAACCACTCCAATCAGATGAACCCCAACAACCCCGTGTTTGGAGGGGGTTCCAGTCAGTACGGTGGGACTGGCACAAAAGCTGACCTTGGCAACCACTCCAATCAGATGAACCCCAACAACCCCGAGTTTGGAGGGGGCAAGCCTGGAGGCAAGAAGTGATGACGTGTCACCTGATGATTGGCTTGCACAGACAATATAGACACATCACGTGACATTGTGTCAGTAAGGAAACTTCTGTGCCATGATTGTCCAGTCAAATGCTTAGCAGATAAAATTGTATACGTAAAATAAATACGTTATAACTACCTACAGTGTTGTGTTAATGTATGAGTTCCTTGACTGGTCTACGTAGCGAGACCTGGCTCCGGAAGATGATCCTGTTGAGAAGGTCTATATATGCTGTTATATGGCAGTGTATTCTATTGTTTAACAGTGATTGTAATGGTATTACATTGTTCCTGTTGAGATTCGGTAGACGCTCATTGCATTGTATTTGGGCAATGATTAGTCGTCAGGGACTGAGTGCTATTTAATCTAAGCAGTCGCCAGGAAGTTACTATATTTAGATACTTGTGTGATGTGTAAACTACCCGACCGCCCCCACGCAACTTGGAACAGATTGCAACAGAATTTATTTCAGCACTATGCATTTCTACAAGGTCCCCAAAACACCATACTAAAAATCCCAAGCAATCCCAGTTTGGGAAATATTGTCTAATTTGCATAATCCAATATGACCACTAATTATCAATATATCTTCCACACTTTCAAATGTTGTAAGTTTAAAACAGTGTGCTTGGACCAATATGGATATAAATTGGCACGCTAACTCACGCATATATAGTTAACACATTTAGATAGAAACTCCGTCACCAGAGCCCCCTGGTGGCCCAAAATTCCAAGATGGCCACCAAGAGATTGATAACTAGATATAGGTTATCAATACACTGTAGGTCTCTGATGACATATTTGAGTGATTTGAACTTCTACATTGGGGTAAACATACCCAATGGTGTATGTAGAATACTCAATCATTTGTATAAATCCAATATAACCACCAAATATCAATATTTATCTCTTAAATGGCGTGTTTTGGCGAGTTTAAAGTTCAATGTTGATTGTTATTGTCCTAATCAACTTATTGACATGACAATAAATGCTATAACAAGTTTCGTTTTCATTCATGTAAATACTTGTTGGAAATAAGTTTGACCTACATGAGGTCCTCTCAGAATAACACTTGATATTTCTCTACAGTGAACATAACACTTGGACGGAATTTCTGTCATACAAGAGTTACTTCCCCTTTAATTCACTCCCTTTATCGTATGTGTCTAGCCCGTACACAAACTGTTGACGTCCTTTTTACGTTAGTTCCAGATTGACAAGGCAAGATAATGAAGCATGGTCATTTATGGAGTTAATATGACTTCTTGCCGTTTATTCTTCTCTCAAGATTATTTCGTTATAAACTGTAAATCTCTCATTGAACTCGTCAATCGAAACTCTGCGTTTCGCAAAGCGCCATTTTTTGTTACTTCTTACGTGTATTCTTTCGCTTCTCTCAGCGGTCTTCTAGTTTTCAAGAATATTTTTTGTTGAAGTTGATTTTGTATTGAATGATATCGAAATATATGAGAAAGAATTTTTGTGACCCTTAATGTTTTTTTCTTTCCTTTTGTTTATATTTTTAAGATTTTGCAAACACGAGCCTACTTTTTAAGTCGCAAATACAAGGGGTGATGAACCGTCCCTGTGTGTTAGGTAGGGAGAATTTACGTTTCAAGGTTTTACATTTGAAATGAAATAGAGTAATTTTCCGGTAGACAACTACACAAAAAGTATATTACAAATAGGATCCAGTATGTATTGGTCAAAATATGGTGCTTAGATTCTCACTTGGCGTCTGGTATTACGAAGGGGACTTGAGTGTCGGATCTTCAAAGTGAGTGAGTAAGTGTATGGTTTAACGTCACTTTTAGCAATATTCCAGCAACATCACGGCGGGGGACACCAGAAATAGGCTTCACACATTGTAACCCAAGTCGGGAATAGAACCCGGGTCTTCGGCGTTACGAGCGAACGGATCTTCAAGGGCACTGCGCAGAGTTACGTCCCGAGGTCGGACTGGGGATGTCATGATGTATGAACACCTACTTGAGTGTTCAGCAAAGTGTACTTGTGGGTACCCCTTAATATCATCATCTAGTCATTCCTGATAACTAAAACTGTTTTACTATAATACAAAAGTTGATGGTGGTGGTATTTCAACAGGGCGAATACCGGCAAAACAAAACATCCACCTCGTGGACACCGGATGGTTTACATGGTTTACGTACGTTCGATTATTTAGGTTTGAGTAACTGATGTTACCACATTTCTGGCAACAAGATTCAACCTTGGTGAACCAGTGTTTACAAATGATGCCTGTCAGGATGTTTTGGATAAAATTGATTCCTATAACAACCTTGGTGTTATCTTTCAAAAAAATTAAAAATTCACGTTAACAAAAAAAAAAGCTAACAACAAGCAACGAAAGCTATGTTCTATGTTTTAAGCCAAGGACGGAAGTTAAATATGTCACTTAAATGTCAACTGCGGCTTTTTGACAGTATGGTTGTACCAGTCCCTCTATGGATGCGAAGTATGGGGATTTGAAAACATCTCAGCTCTAGAAAGTTTACATTTGCGTTTCCTAAAATATCTTTTATCATTAAGAAACTGTACTCCAAATTTCATGGTACATGGGGGAACTTGGAAGACTCCATCTATCAAACATCGTCAAAATGAAAATGATAAGTTTTGGGGCAACAGTACATCCCGGGAAATCATCTAAATTATCTCAAATGTAAACATAAATGGATTATATATATCAAACGAACTTTTGATGAACTTGGACCTAGCTCCATTTGGTTTTCACAAAGTTTAAAAAATGCCACATACATACATACATAAAACATCTATTCCATGAAAAATTAAATGACATTAACCTACAGTGTTGGACCAGTACAAGTGATAAGTCTTTAAAAGGCACAATGTATAGTATCATCAAAAATGATTGCCTTAATTTTGAATATTATTTAAACGCACTGCAGGAAAACGCTTGGCAAGTCTTACTTAAGTTTAACTTGTAATCATAATCTACCTATTGAAACTGGGAGATGGAGAAAGGAAATGCCAACTTTGCAAATTGTCTGACATAGATGATGAATTCCATTATTTATTTGTCCATCTTTAGAAAACGAAAGAAAACATTTTTTACACAGATTCTACTACATTAAACCCAATATGCATAAAATGAATTTACTTTTCAATAATTCACGACGAGGAACATTGAGAAAAATGTCCAAATTCTGTTAAATCATCATGTCTTTGTTAAAACCTATCAAGTAACTCTCCCTCTTAATGAATTGCACATATATTGCTACCCTAGTAAATCTGTATAAATATGCATGCATGCTCGGCCAAGATGTTTTTGTATCAATTCTATATGTATATGTATATGTCTTATGTTGTTGAAATAATTTGGTACCTCTGATTCCGCTGATAGCGGCCTGAGTGTAAATAAAGTTCAGTTCAGTTCTTAGGGCAGTACTCGAAATATAACGCATCAAATGCAACCTTAGATATATAAAAACACATGACTCTGAGGAGGAGACACAACTTGGAGAGTTTACCAAGTTGTTCATTGCTTGTACCTCATCTATTCAATGCATGTAAAACGACAATAGCGAGTAGACCATCAAACAGAGATGCAAGATCATCGTCAAAGTTGCATTGTTCATTTTAAAGTACTTCTATAAACAATCGATACGCATATTGGATCACATTTATACTATCAATAACTTGCCAATTATATTCTTAAAACTGTTTTCATGTATGATTGAACCAACAAATGAAAGTGAGTATAGCTTCAGGGGTCCAATGGGTTCGGGCAAACATAGGACAGTCGAAGTATGAAGCAAATCAGGTAACATTGGTCAACAAAAGTTAACTTGGGTTATACCTCGGGCAGAACGGATTCACCCGGGTCGTCCAGGCTTTTGAAATGGAAAGCTGTCATACTTTAATTAATTTTTAGTGTTCTTGTGATAAAACGAATACCCGATGTCCCTATGCTTGTCGTAAGAGGCGACCAACGGGATCGGGTGGTCAGGATCGCTGACTTGGATGAAGCATGTCATCGTATCCCAAATGAGTAGATCGATGCCCATGATGCCAATCACTGGATTGTCTGGTCCACACTCGATTATTTACAGACCGCCGTCATATAGTTGGAATAGTGCTGAGTGCGGCGTTAAACAATTACCAAACAACCAACTAGATGTCCCATCCGATAATGATTTTTTTAATACGCATATCTCGAATAGATTCTCAACTCGAACTAACTGAATGTTGCATTGTGGATGATGGATATGCTAAGGTAGCTGTTGTGGCAGTCGTGTACAGACCTGACACATTAACACGCCCCGATCTTAAAAAAACAAGGTAATGTGTATTCCTATCTCAAATCCAGTGTATTGCACCTTGTTCAGTAACCATTCAGTCGTCCGTCTCTGCTTGGTGTGATTGTGCCAGTATTGTTGTACAGTACAAATACAGTGAGTGAGTGAGTGAGTGAGTACGGTTTTACGCCTCTTTTAGCAATATTCCAGCAATATCACGGCGGGGGACACCAGAAATGGGCTTCACACATTGTACCCATGTCGGGAATCGAACCCAGGTCTTCGGCGTGACGACAAATACAGTAACTAGGTAACGATGCATGATCGATCAACAGCTGCACAAGGTAGGGAGTGGCTTTACAGGAATATGTCGGGTTTTCCAGCAATGTGGGTTTTTCCATGAACCGAACTATCGTATTTGAACATGAAACACATCAATAAGCTGATTAAAGTTTCGATTCGTGACGTACACGGATTTAAAGACGGATTGGCCTATGATGATATTTGGGCCCTGGCTGGCCTTTAATGGAAATTGAAATAACGCGTGATCGGAGACAGACTAGGTCACGTGATTGGTCGATGATATTAAGTGTCCGCGCGACACGGGTATGTGCTACAGTCGGAAAGCGCACGTTAAATCTCCTATATTAGTCAGTCAGTCAGTCAGTCAGACGCACATACGCACATGTCGGAAAGCGCACGTTGAATTCCCAATGCCCGCAGGTAGATAAATCAGATATACGTACTGCACTTAGTCAAAACTCAACGTGAGGACCGTTGTCCACCTAACTCTGCAAACATGTGAGTGCTGATGTAAGTGTCTTGTTAGTAGTTACTGTAACATTAGTTCATATCCGTTA